CTCTCTCTCCCCTCTCTCTCTCTCTCTCTCTCTCTCTCTCTCTCTCTCTCTCTCTCTCTCTCTCTCTCTCTCTCTCTCTCTCTCTCTCTCTCCCTCTCTCTCTCTCATTCTTTTTTATTCTCTCTCTTTTTTATTCTCTCTCTTTTTTATTCTCTCTCTCTCTCTCTCTCTCTCTCTCTCTCTCTCTCTCTCTCTCTCTCTCTCTCTCTCTCTCTCTCTCTCTCTCTCTCTCTTTCTTTTATTCTCTCTCTCTCTCTCTCTCTCTCCTCTCTCTCTCTCTCTCTCTCTCTCTCTCTCTCTCTCTCTCTCTCTCTCTCTCTCTCTCTCTCTCTCTCTTTTATTCTCTCTCTCTCTCTCTCTCCTCTCTCTCTCTCTCTCTCTCTCTCTCTCTCTCTCTCTCTCTCTCTCTCTCTCTCTCTCTCTCTCTCTCTCTCTCTCTCTCTCTTCTCTCTCTCTCTCTCTCTCTCTCTCTCTCTCTCTCTCTCTCTCTGTGTGTGTGTGTGTGTGTGTGTGTGTGTGTGTGTGTTGTGTGTGTGCGTCTTTGTGTGTTTCTGTCGCTCCTATGAGAACATCTACTCACTCCCATTACACCAATATCCCGATCCACAATTCCATTTACATTACATTTGATTTTTTTTTCTTTTTACTCGGTAGAAAGTAATTTGCTTTTTACGTAATCAGATCATTTAACAGTCATCAGATTGCCACGTGCCGGACGCAAGTTAGTCGTTAGTCATGGGGAATTTTCCACTTCCTTTGTTTTTTTTCCTTCGTGGGTTTACCTGAGCTGTGGAAGTCCAGATGTGATTGTCACTCTTTCTGGTTTCTCCTGTTCTTTTTTTCCTCTTTTTTTCTTTTTTTCTTTTTTTGTGTGTGTTTTTCGTTTTTGTGTAGCTTTGTTTTTCTTTGTGTGCGTGTGTATGTCTTTTTTTTCTCGTTTCTTCTACTTTCACCTAATGTCTGGATGTTTTTTTTTGTTTTGTTTTTTTGGTATATGAGTCTCTTTTTGTTATTTGGTTTCTCTCCGTTTCTCTCTTTCTCACTTTCTTTGTTTTCCTTTTTTTCTCCCACCCCCTCCTCCCTCCTCCTGTTTTTGTTTTGTTTTTTTTATTTCTCTCTTTCTCGTTTTCTCTGTCCCTCCTTACCTTTCTGTTTCTCCTTTTTTTTCTGTCGCGCTTTTACTTTATATCTCCCTCTCTCTCTTTCCCATTTTCTTTCTTTTCTCTCTCTCTCTCTCTTCTATCTTCCACACAATGACTCTTTCTCACTTCTCACTTTCTCTTTTTCCATCTTTCTCTCCTTCTCCCCCCCCCCCTCCATCTCACGCTTTCTCCCAACAAATATTTACCCTCTCCCCCCCCCCCTCCCTCCTTAATCTTCCTCTCCCTTCCTCTCATTAGCAAATATTGTTGTTGATTCGTTCATTTATGCATAACCTGATCGGTGTCGAGCGAGAACAACCGATTTGTCTTTGCCGCCGCGCCAGTAGGGTCGTCGAGCGAGTGTCGTTACGAAGGGTATTTCTTTACTTTCGTCCTTTGTGTATCACGGCTCGATATTTTTTCTTTGTTAGTCTTTGTTTATTTGTTTGTCTGTCTGTTTGTTTGTCACTGTTTGGTTGTCTGTCTTTCTGTCTGTCGTTTCTGTCTCTTCCAACCCATTCATCTTCTCTCCTTTTCTCTTTTTTCTGACTGCCTCTTTCTCCCCCTCTCTCCTTTTCAAGTGATTTCCGTCCCTCCCCCCTCTGCTTCTCTCTTTCTCTCTCTCTCTCTCTCTCTCTCTCTTTCTTTCTCTCTCTCTCTCTCTCTCTCTCTCTCTTTCTCTCTCTCTCTCTCTCTCTCTCTCTCTCTCTCTCTCTCTCTCTCTCTCTCTCTCTCTCTCTCTCTCTCTCTCTCTCTCTCTCTCTCTATCTATCTCTCGATGGCTCTGCAGCAACTGAAGCAACAAAAATCATCTCACTGTTGCTTGTATCTTGTATCTCGTGTGAGTTATGGTTCTGCGAAGGGCGGCCTCGGGGGTTCGTTAAGGGCAGTGTAGGGCGCGATGGCTGGGGACGATTTCTTCTCTTTGTCTTCTTTTCTTTCTTTTCTTTCTTTCTTTCTTCTTGTTCTTGTTCTTGTTCTTTTCTTCTTCTTCTTCTTCATTTCTTTTTCATTTTCTTTTTCTTCTTCTTTCTTCTTCTTTTTCGTCTTCTTCTTCTTCTTCTTCTTCTTCTTCTATGTACGACGTCTTGGCTTCTCTTTTCTTTGTGGTTTTGTCCCTTTCATATTTATTTTCCTGGTCTGGTTAGTGAAGCTTGTGTTTAGTCTTCCTTTTTTTTTTGGGGGGGGGGGGGTGGAGGAGGGGTACTTTTCGTTCTGTTTCCATCGCTCTCTTTCTTTCTTTCTGTCTCTCTCTTTCGCCAGTTTGTCTGTCTGATCGTCTCTCTCGCTCTGTTTCGCTTGTCTCCTTTTCCGCAATACACATTAATGCTGAAGGGGAAAGAGGGAATAGAAGAGAGAGGAGGAGGAAAGAAAGGGGATAAAAGAAGGAGAAATGAGAGGGGGAAAGGGGGAAAGAGGGGATAAGTGGAGGAGAAAGAAGAAAAGATAGGGAATGGAAGAAGGGGGAAGGAGAGGGTAGGGAGAAGGGGAAAACAAAGAATTGGTGGAATAAGAAAGAAGAGGAGAGAAAGATGAAGAGGAAGGAAGGAGGAGTTAAAGAAGGAATAAAAGGGCATGACACAGGAGCGATGGGAAGAGTAGAAAGAGGAAACAGGGGAGAGAGGAGGAAAAAAAACAAGAATGTAGAAGTAGAAAAAAAAAATAGAAAGAGGGGGAGAAAAAAATTGTCCAAGGAGGAAAGTCATAATCGATACTAATCCCACTGCAGACGCTAAGATTTCCCCCTGGCAAGTGCGCCTAAACAGTGCATTTCTTCGCCAGTATCATCCTGCAGAATCTAGGCAACGTGTCCTTGCCTTGGCCGCTGCTATTCAAAGATACAAGATACATGATAATAAAAAAATAATAATAAATAAATAAATAAATAAAATAAAAGATATATGTCACGATAACCGACTGTTGACGAATAGCCCCCTGCCTCACGTCAGTTTCTTGGGAGATCTAAATCTAAAAACGGCTTAATACAACTTCTTTCGCATGTTAAAGAATACTAACCTGTACCTTTAATTTCTTTTCTTTTTTTTTTCCTAAAAGAAAGAGTACATTCAAGACGGGGAAGGTTGTTGCATCTCTGACCTTCGGATTTCTGTCAACATTGAAAAAATTATCCCCTAGTCTGTGGGGATTAGGCTTGTGGTGTTAAAACATACTGTATGGAAAACTTTATTTAAAAGTTTAAATAAAAAAAAATATATGTGTATATATAAAAATATAATATAAATAGCTTTTCTTTCTCTATATGATAATACTGAAATAAAAAATAACTAAATACAGACTATTAATGCAGCCAATTACACTGAAGTTACCCCTTAAAGCCTAACTCGAAAATGACGTGACTCACCAGGAAACTTTAATGGAAAATTCAAGTGCTTACTGGAAAACTACTGATCAGCTAACATTGGATCAATACATGTAAAAGCCAGTGTGCGGTTGTCATCAGTCAGTTAGGACTTTTTAAAATCAGTATATTTCTTAATAGTTAACTTGCATTCTCTGCTGAGATTGCCCAACTGAGCTTCAAACAATACCTCAGCAATCAGTCTCTCTGCATATATACGTTGATCCTGAGAGAGTATTCTTAATTTCGAAGCTACGTGTTTCCCTGTGATGTCAAAATCATCCTCAGTCTTAAGGTGAAGGCGTTCAGTAGCTGAGTTCAGTACAGGGTTGGTGTGTTCCTCCCTCGGCCTCTTCTGTAGCCTTGTCTGTCCCGAGGTGTTGGTCTGTCGCATGGGTTGTGCCGCAGGAGATGGCGTTGTTTCCTCGCTTGTTTCTTCTTGTGGCTCCCGGTTTTGAGAGGTGTCCAGCTCCACTGACTCCTAGAAATATCAGTACTGTGTTAATATGGATTGTCTGCCTAATTCTTTCTTTATTTAGGAAATACAATATATATACAACGTTATGTGTTACTGTGGTATTGCCTATTGACCAGTCATTATTTTTTTTCTGCTAGCGTCCCAATAAGAAAGGATATTGTTAAGTACATTTGGAATTTCTTCACTGTTTAGAGGCACTCGACGGCAGGGGTGGTAAGGAGCACTAGATGTTACCATGCCATGCTGCACATTGTATATATTTTTTTTAAAGATCTATGTGCACCAAGAGGACCATGATACTGACGTAAATATTATGGGTCTATGAACAGATGAAAGTTCCATACATGATGGGTAGTTATAGCTGGGATGCTGTCTGTCGCAGAATAGGTTGAAAGGAATATGGATTTGCGCCGCATTCCACATATAGCCAATGAATAAAAATAACCAATGAATAAAAATACAGCAGTTCTGCATACCTTTATAATATTTTCTTGTGTATATGCAGTGCTGAATGTTGCTTTTGTGGAGAGTGATTCACTTCAGGCAAGAAAGGCTGAGTTACGTACATCATTCCAAACTTACTCAATTTCGTTTATATTTTACTCCTAATCGTCACTAGTACAATCTGATTTAACTTACTTTCGTCTCCTGATCCTCATATATCTCCAGGTTCGAAGTCGCTGCTCGCGGATTTTCTTGGTCCAGCAAGAAACTCAGCAGATGGAAATACCACAGCTTGGGAGAGTATGCGCTGCCCCCTCCCGACCTCTTTGAATCTACCACTTTCTTCAGCTCTTTCCTATAAGCACTCCTCAGGTTGTTTATTTTCTTCACAACTGCCTCCCGATCTGCCGTCGGATCCACTTCCCTCAGCTTCCCGACGAGTTTTTCGTAAGCCAGTCTCTTCATATTTCTATCCGAGTAACTTCTGCTCTTCATTTTCCAAAGGCATTCGTGGCCTCGGTACAGGTCGATGAAATCCTCCACGAACGGCCTTGAGAAACTTCGCAAATCCGACATCCTTCCGGATGTCGGATGAGCAAATATCCGCGGGTTTAGGCTTCCCTTTGGTTTGACTGCGCAGTTCAAATATGTACAGTTAGCTTCTCCATAATCGAACGATATTGTTCCAAGCTTTCGATCAGTACAGTTAGAACTGCACAGATGATTCTCCTCCCACGTGACCCTCGTTTGATCAGCGCAGTTTTAGACTGTGCAGTTAAACCGGTGTAAAAGAAGAAAACATTGTGCGTGTTTAGTGAATGTCTGTGATAACTGGGTATCATGATCTGTAGTGGGAGGAATCGTGTGTATTGTGTGTGCGTGTGTGTGGGTGTGGGTGTGGGTGTGGGTGTGGGTGTGTGTGTGGGTGTGCGTGTGCGTGTGTGAGTGTGAGTGTATGTGTGTGTACGTGTGTGTGTGTGTGTGTGTGTGTGTGTATGTGTGTGTGTGTGTATGTGTGTGTGTGTGTGTTTGTTTGCTTGTTTAATTTGCTGTAGTGAGCGTCCGTCCGTGCGTGCGTGTGTGTGCTGAGTGATAGTGCTTGAAAGTATAAGATCAATAAATAAGCAAAGAAGAAAGTTCTTAGAATCACTTTACATTCTACAAGGTGGACTTGAAGGAGGAGGAGGAGAAGGAGAATAAGAAAACAGTATTAAAAAGGCTGAGGACGCCAATAATGGAGAGGAAGATGAAAACAGCAAAGAAAAAGCGAAAAAAAAAAAGATAAAATAGAATAATGGAATATAAAAGATAGGGGGGAAAAGGCAATAGAAAGAGAAAATATCTTTAAAAAATGAGAAGAAGAAAGAAAAGGAGAAGAAAAGCATTAAAAATCGAGAGAATGAAGAAAGATGTACAAAAAAGGACACCAAAACAATACAAGAAAGGAAAAGAAAACACAGAAAAGACCTTCTTTTTATTCTTTTACTCAGAAGAAAAAAGGAAGAAGAGGCAATTGGACGCAAGATAACGAGAGAGAAGGAGAGACAAAAGCAGCGACTAACCCACGCGTGCCTAATCTCCCCACAGCGTTCAAAGACGAAAGTGCAAGGCTGTGTGTGTGTGTGTGTGTGTGTGTGTGTGTGTGTGTGTGTGTGTGTGTGTGTGTGTGTGTGTGCGTATTCGGTCAGGTGGCGCTGGGGCCTCGGGTGTTCAGCGCGGCTCTTGGAAGTTGCCTTTATTGTTATTAATGCTGTTGGTGTTTTTGTTGGTGTTGAGAAAGAGAGACGGAGTGAGAGAGTGAGGGGGGGGAGAGAGGGAGGGAGGGAAGGTGGGAGGGAGGGAGAGAGGGAGGGAGGGAGGGTGGGAGAGAGAGGGAGGGAGGGAGGGGAGAGAGGGAGGGAAGGTGGGAGGGAGGGAGAGAGGGAGAGAGAGAGAGAGAGGGAGGGAGAGAGAGAGGGAGACAGAGAGAGAGAGAGAGGGGGGGGGGGGGAGAGAGAGAGAGAAAGAGAGAGAAACAGAGACATATAGATAGATAGACAGACAGACAAACAGAGACAGATAGACAGACAGACAGACATACAGACAGACAAACAGAGACAGATAGACAGACAGACATACAGACAGACAGACAAACAGAGACAGATAGATAAGAGAGAGAGAGAGAGAAAAGAAGAGACTCATCCTAAGAACGTATCGAGGCTAAAAGGAATCCTAGGACGTGGAATTGCAACAAGCCCTCGGATTCCGAAGGTCAAAAAAGGGACGTTGTGGCATCCTTCTGCCGCCTCGTGTGGATAGGATGGATAGATCGGTGGATGGATGGGGACGTAGGTGGGTGGGTCGGTACGTGGGTGGGTGTTTAGATGGGTGGATGGGTGTGTGGGTGCGTGGGTGGGTAGGTGCGTGGATGGATGGGTGCGTGGGTGGGTGTTTAGATGGGTGTGTGGGTGCGTGGGTGGGTAGGTGCGTGGATGGATGGGTGCGTGGGTGGGTGTTTAGATGGGTGTGTGGGTGCGTGGGTGGGTAGATGCGTGGATGGATGGGTGCGTGGGTGTGTGGGTGCGTGGGTGGGTAGGTGGGTGGGTGGGTAGGTGGGTGGGTGGGTGGGTAGGTGGATGGATAGATCGGTGGATGGATGGGTGCGTGGGTGGGTGTTTAGATGGGTGTGTGGGTGCGTGGGTGGGTGGATGCGTGTTTGGGTGGATGGATGCGGACGTAGGTGGGTGAGTGGGTGCGTGGGTAGGTAGGTGGGTGTTTGGGTGGGTAGATGGGTGTGTAGGTGGATGGGTAGGTGTGTCAGTGGGTGGACAAGTGTGTGGGTGGGTGGGTGGATAGGTGTGTGGATGCGTGGGTGGATAAGTGTGTGGGTTGGTGGATAGGTGTGTGGATGCGTGGGTGGGTGGGTGGATGAGTGTGTTGGTGGATGGGTGGATGGATGGGTGCGTGGGTGAGTACATGGATGGATGGACGGTAGGTGTATAGGTGGGTGGGTGGATGGATGGATGGACGGGTGAGTGGATGGATAGGTCTGTGTATAGGATGGATAGATAGGTGCGTGGGTGAGTGGGTGGGTGGAT